CAATAGTGATATTTAACAAAGGGTCTCTCTTGACATGTCTTTATGGAGGGTGTGGGTGTGGGTGGGTGAAGTGTTACCCACACCCTCGTTCAATAAATTATATATTTTCATTTAAAATTATGGCAGCAATTGGACGCATGTTCTATCTCCGACAAGGGGGGGGGGTGTTGTTTTCCATCTATATCGATATAGCTGGAAAACAACAGAACGAATGTAAAATTACGTCATCGTATAGTAAAATACATTAGTTCGCTAGTTTAAAACAGCCTATATGTACACTATACGAAGAACGAAAAAACATTCGATGGTATGGTATATTGTCACTATTAAAAATAGTGCTATATGTAACTGCATAATGTCAGTAACAACCAACATAAATTTAGTCTATACAGAATTTATTTTTGCAGTTTTTCTGCAAAAGTAAATTCTGTCATTTTCGGTAGTCTATCTTTACACATTGTGTATTACATATTTTCGCTGCTGTTAAAAAAACATATTATATTCTAATCATCCTTGCTTATATTTTTGTTCTAGGCAAAGCGGCAAAACCGCGCTTTTTTAAAAATCTGAATATGAAACAATTACCTGTCATATGGCGGTGGAATCGTACAAGTTGGATGACTGCTAGTCTGTTCGATGAATGGCTTACCAGTATAAACAACAGCATGATCAAGCAAAAGCGTAAAATCTTATTATTCATCGATCACGCTCCTTGTCATAATTCCGATGCTCAGTATTCCAACATTACTCTTAAATTTTTTCCTCCTAATACAACTTCAAAGCTGCAGCCTTTGGGCCAGGGAATTACCAAAAATTTCAAGTGTTACTATCGTGAGTAATACGACTTTTTTAATTTTTGTAATCAACACCATCTATTCGTTTAAGGCAACAGCTTGTTAAACATGTAATATTACGGTGTACCGTTGCCAATTCATCTGATAATATTGCCATCACAGCTCTCGATACGGTGCACTGGACGAAAAACGCTTGGCAAGCTGTTACACAATTGACAATTTGCAATACATTTCGTATGGCGGGTTTCATCAATCCGAACACTCAAGGTGGAACCAGTACTACAATGGTTAATAATAGTGATAACGATGTCGACGATGGAATTTCTACTGACGACGTCGCAACAGCTTTACAAGATTTAGATACACTTCTTACTCATATCACCATCGGTGGACATAGTCTTAATGCTAATGAATTCGTCGAAATCGATTCAGAAACTCCAGTTTTCAACGAATGGAACGATATCGATGATAATCTGGTCGTCATCGATGCAGACTGTGGTGACAATATAACCACAGATAAGAATGGAGATGACGACATGCCAACTGAAGCACCACCTAAACTCACTGAAGCAATGGAAATGGTTCGACGACTACACATTTTAGCAGCCACTCGACAACCAGAATTACATACACTTATTCCTCAATTAGATTCACAACTTACCCAACTTTTCATCGACTCAAAAGGAGTCAAGCAAGCAACGATTAAAGACTTTTTCATAAAAAATAATTAAATGTAAATAAATAGATGAGAATACATTTTTGACTTTTTTTGTTTAAAATTGAATAGATGTTTAATAGTTCAAATTAATAAAATATTCTTTTTCTTTATTACATGATAACTAAAGAAGTATGTGCAATAGATGAAAAAGATACTTTTTTTATTTGGCACTGACCGTAACAGATATTAATACAGAAGGTGTATAGTTATCATTCGTGTATACTAATCATGTGCTGTATACATATATAAACTTCATTCAGTGTGAAACCTCCATAAGATGAACATCTCCTTTAATGAACACCTTTTGAACAGTCCCGTTAGTGTTCATCTTAGAGAGGTTTCACTGTATAATCAAATTAAACTAAGGTTGTTTAATTCAAAATGAACGACTCAAAATAAGAAAGTGTTGCGAGACTTATGACGTCCACTGTATTTCCTCGTAGATATTGTGGATAAGCTAGTATTCCATTGTTTTTTCGAAGAACGAGCGATCGTCGAGCCTGATTTGGCTTTGATTGAAATCTGATAAGTGAAAGAAGTTTTTAGTAACATTTGATTGGAAAAATGCGAAGATATTGAACGAAATGAGGATAGAATATGCACCATTTTTCGATTTTTTGTCGACCCCATTCTTTGGGAGCAATTATCATCAAGCGAACTTGTTCATTCGCATCACTATCAGCGTATAACTTCTTCAAACCATCCAAAAGTTCATTTGATTCACATATCATTAGTCCGTGAGGATTTGGATCATGCGAAACTTGAGACTTTCCATCCAATACGTCACATAACCGATTAAGTTTTCTATACACCTCGTCAACTTTGGTTCAAATGGGTAATACTGCTGATCTAAATATCAATGTCGTTCCGGAAAATTCGGATTAAATTTACAAACTAACCTGTCATGAATCGGGCCTATGTTCAATAGCTTGAATATATTTGATAATTCTTCCATTGCTTTGTCTTTCTGGTGTTCGAGTTCATAGAAAACATGACCTGTCTCTTCATCCATACGTGGTGATTCATCATCATCGTCATTTGACTCAGCTATGATACCACTGTCCATATGAGGATTCTGTTTCTCTTCTTCATTCAGATCATTAAACTCCACATTGACAGAATCATCATCATTTTCGCCATCATTGACAGAAGAATCTTCTGTCATGAGTTCATCACCACTTGGACTTTCATCGTCGTTGAATTCCATTGATTGATGAGTCATCATTTTCTTCGATTCAAATGCATGACATCTTGGACATAACCAGCAAATTCGGGTGTAAGCCACATCATATTGAGAAATCAAAAATTTCGATAGCTGTGATGACACAGCCACTACTCCTTTTGGTACACGTGTAGATTTTTCATGCTTTATCGGATGTTCACAACATTTTCGTTTCGGCATTGGGATACAATTTTGAAAAAAAAAGAGGTACTAGTGGGCAATCGATATTTTCTAATATCCAATGATTCATCTCGTAATCTTATTCGTTTGAAGTCACGACATTTGTGGATAAGACTCTACGTGTAAAGATGCCCTTACAGAGAAATGGAAAATCTATCATTTCGATAGTACTGTTCCTTTCGACTCCGTGGTCTTACTTCTGCAAGACAGATTAACGGCAAATCTTTCTAGTGATGTGGGCAAAGTCATCAGTTCGACATCGTTCTGAGAGGATAGTATCACGAAAGTTGTTGTACTCTACGAGGAAGAGAAGATAAAAATGCTTCAAATTAATTGAATGCAACTCAAGTTGACGAAATATGACTGTTGCTATATTCAGAGAAAATGACTCAGCACTCAGGACTCTCAACAGGACCGGTCTAATGTTTCTTAGGAAACATGTTTCTAGACTTGTTTTACATTTTTGAACACCAGGAAATTCCGAAAAAATAGCTTTTGAAGAAGTTCTAGGCTTTTTTCCTGACATTTTCTCTATATATAAAAATATATCATAGGAGTTCCGAAAAACTGCTCCAAAACTCGGGATTTTGAATAGGAAGGACCTATTTTTTTTTCATCAAAAGTGTTCTCTAGTGCATACCGGCGTTTTGAAGCGAAAAAAAATCGAAAAAAAAACCTTTCCAAAAAGTGGATGGATCCCCATAGATTCACTCAATAAATATTTGATAGGATTCAGTAGAACAAATTGATGGCTCTCTAAATTTTATTCGAGATAAAAATATCGAAAAGAAACAAAATATCATAATGTCTAAATATTCTCATTCTCGATAATACTTATTCTACCGAATAAAAAATCTAATTCAAGTTGTATTACTCATCTTTTCAAAATAGTCAATGAAAAAGTTAATATTACCGAAGTTTTGGAATGCACATCTGTACACCTGAATAATAATGAACCAAAGAATTGTGATTAGAATTTGTCTCGTAGTCTCTACGTTCTTGAAAATCATATAAATTTTTTCTAAAAAAAACATTACAAAAAACATTGGTTAATAAAAAATGTTCTTAAGGCATATGTATACGGACGAATTGAATAGGTAATAAGATCATAATCGATTAGAATTTCAAATAACCATTGATAGTTAGACCGAAATGATGAAATAAAACGATTGATTAATGCATGAGAAGAGATCACTTGGAAAGTATTATCAATATTTTCTTCCCTATAAGTAGAAGTAAATTTTGTTAAATATGGTATATATTGGATAATTAATTGTTCCTATCGATCAGCTTCTAAATAATTCTTATTGATACCTTGAACTTTAACACTTAACAATCTTAATTGAGACGAGATTTTTATAAGAAATTTTTCAAATCGATCAAATGTAAGATTATGTACACTAATTGATAGATGTTTCAAATTCATCAATGGAGTTAATATATCAAATTGTACAACAACATTTGATTGAAATATGTCAAAACAATTTAAATAAATAAGTGGAGGTAGATAAGAAAGTAAATGAGGAAGATGATCAAGAGTGAAAAAATGATACATACATAAATATTCAATTGAAGAATATCGCCCTTTTGTTGCAATTGGTAAGGTAAGATCGGATGCTGGATAATCTGATATTACCGATTTGAAATACTTTAATAAAGGTAATTTAAAAACCATTGAATAAATTTTACCAACATTCGTAGAACAATGGTTCAAACAAACAGTTAAATGAGAAAGACCTGGTAAATATTGTAAATAAAAGAGAAATACTCCGAATTTAAATATTGAAGCATCATTAAGAACAATTCATTCAAGATGATCGAATGATTTAATAATACTTGATTGCATGATTGTGCCCAGAATTAATTCATTATTAAAATGAAATGAAAGAATATGATGTTTGTTTAAATTAATTAATTCTTTATAATGATAATCAAATTCAGATGTGGAAGAAATTTGAATTTTCATAAGAAGTGAAGACTTAATAAGAAGATTTTCAAAAGAATTATTAAGATTTGAAAATGCGTTATAAACATCATAACCATCGAGATAATCAAATATTTCATAGAAGATTTCATTCGATAAATCTTCAATACAATTGATTGATTTCCTATATGAAAAAGAAAATAATATGATTCAATGAAAATATTTCTTTTATTTCTTACTCGTTCGAACACAATGATTCTAGAAAAAATTAGAATGTATCAAATAAATGAATTGATTATAACTTACTTCGTATAATTGGATCGGAAGACAAACGAATATCTGGTTGCTCTTTTTTAGCTTCCGACATATTTATATGATCTATTATTGTATGCCTAGAATTCTATTGTTTCGTTCTTTATTCTAATCATTTGAAAATTCCACTTATCGTATCTATCTAGTCTATAATATTTTTTTTTTATACAGTTTAGAAAATTCTTCATAGTTGTTAGTTGTTAATCTTGATCATTTGTTCTTTTTCACACTCGCAGATGGATTACATTACTTTGTTTCTTTGGAAAATATACTACATATCAATAGTATATTATGGAAAGCAAGTCATCAAATTGAACTGTGTTATTTTTATGTAAAACACCTCTTACACAAAGAATTATTCATTACAATAACAAAT